ACCTCCAGGGTGTAGCCCTCTGCCGCAGGCAGCAAATGCTTTCAGACGGTACAATCCGATGCCTCGTCTATCATATCGACGTCCCACCGGCCTTGGGCACATATGTTCCCGTTGTTTTTGCATTTCTGTCAAACGCAGTGCCACCATCGTTGACGCCCTACAAGGGGGCTGGCCCATCCTCGCTTCTCGCCTGAATCCTGATTTGGACTCGGAACACCGGGCGGGACGCGGCTCGCAAATTGCAGCCGGTCGCCTTGTGCCCTGCCTAGGCAATCTTGCCATTGCCCACTTCCAAGGCCACCTTGGGGGACCTCGACAACGGGCGCTCGACGACATGGCAAATATTGATCTTTTCCCCACGGCTTTCCTTGGTTTTGGGTTATTTTCCAAGCCATAATTACCTGATGAAGCCCAAGACCAAGCTCTTCCCATGTCAACCGCATCCCTCACGGCGCAGACATCTCGTGTATGACTCTCGTAAGTCTTCACTCACCGTTTCCCCACCTTCCACACCATCTTTCCATCACCAACCTCGCGTCCCTCGCTGCCCTCCCTCGCTTCTGCAGGTTGAGGTCCTTTAGCGAAGCATTTTTCTCTGGTCGGACAATTTGTACTGCAACTCTAAGTGCATCCGATCGCCCTGCCGGCTTCTCCTCATTTCGACGGGTTGGGCCCGGAGATTTAATTGTTTCGTTTGAAGCGACGGATGGAAACGATTTTGGCCCTTCGTAACAAACGAACCAGATTCCATCCGTACCCGCGGCCACCTTCGGCTTGCCAGCCCAGGATTTCCGGCCACTCCCCTCGCCAGTTCACAGAGACCGCCACCAACGACGGTTCGGCAAGCCGCCGTTACATCGCCCTCTGAACCGGTGTACGATGCGACGCTGAGGTACCAACAATCTCAGTCGAGAGCAGCTAGCGGTGGGCGGTCTGCAAGCGAGTGATGAGGAGCGCAGCAGCTTCGGATCCGGGTGGAGTTGGGCGCTCGACTGTTCAGGCATGAAGCCGGTTTGTTGGCGATCGTGTGATTTGCAGAGTTTGCGGACATGATGCGGCCTCGTACGTGCGATGCGGTGGACCAGACTATCTAGATTGGAATGCGACTCCCGTGCATTTGCACTAGACAAAACGGCGATCGCGCCGTCGAGTGTACGGGAGGCGACGATTGGAGGTTCCAACGGCCGTTGATGCGCAGCAAGTGATTTGATCGGGGCATCCAATGGACGGAACGTAGGTCCATCACGCCGGACTTTTCGAGGTTAACCATCATCAGTGGCAAAAGACGCCATCATATCGGGATGTCAGCGGGCTGACGCATGCACAAATATGTCACGGAAGCACCAACGGTTCCCCGTTGATGTTCCCTTCAGGCCGGGCGACGGGGCATCGATCGCACTTCCACTCGACCACTCAGACATGCGGGGGACTCGACTGCCGGTGTCACTGTGCACTGATGGATGCACAGACGAAAAGGTTCAGAATACGACCAGTTGTGCTTTCTTTTTACGTGATTACGAATCCCCGGAGAGTGTCTCTTTAGCCTTGGGCAGATGAGACTCTTTGCTCCGCCACAGATGGCATCCAATATTTGCTAGGCTGAAATTGAACCATGGGCCCAAGAATAGTTCAGACGGACTTTTCTGCCTTCCAGGATCACGTAACATATTTCTTCGAATATATTGCTGCCAAATGTTATTAGATTACGGTAGGGATGCCGGCAATCGTCGCGTACCGGAAAACCGTCACCGACGACAAAGGGGGGCGAGGGGGGAGGGGGGTGATGCCTAGCGAGACAAATGCCGCGGATGGGTGCGTCTTCTGGCACCGGCATAGTCCAACCATTAGAGAAGCAAGTCTGGATGCTCTGAAACCTGTAGAAGCTTGTTGTCAGAGCCGTGCGGTGTATTTTCTGTGCTGGATTTCGGGGGCTTTTTCTTCGTGCTCTGGTGCGGTCTGTTTTTCTTTCCTTGGTTCAGAGTGTTTCGGTACCGGAGGGATGTGCGAGTCTACGGCCGCTTGGTTTATGCTAACCGTCCGCCGGCGCCGTCTGGCCCAGCGGGAGGTGTTTCTGGTTGCGCTAGAGAACGGTCATTTGTGAGATCTACAGTAGACTTTGGGGGAGGGAAGCAGGATAAGGGGGATGGGAGCGGTATTTGTATGGGCTCTGCTCCGAGTTTCCCAGCATTGTAGTTTACAGAATTTACCTATTGTCATCTTTGAATCGTTGGAGCGGAATGTGATTTTGTCTGAGTCTTTTCAACCGCTTCGAAACAAATGGAAACAAAGGAAAATGCGATAGTTGTCGTGACGAGTTTCGATGCGCGTCTTCCGCCGGGACACAGTCAACTGGCTAATTAGACAAAGAAGCATACCGCGGCAGCTGCGTCTTCGAACATCACCTCTTCGATAGCTCACCCGTCCCTGATCTCCTCCGTCATCTCGTCCAGCATCCATCGTCGTTACCGATCGTTCCATCCGAGACTTGGAGTCCATCGTCCATCGTCCATCCCACCCGAACAAACCCCTTCATCTCGTCCCACTCTACAGACAGACCAAGAAGCTAGTACACGAGTCCCACGAAGCGATCCTACGATGCTCGAATACCGAGAACGACCCGAAGATATACATGGTCAAGGATAGCTTGGGAGGAATGGATAGAAGGCAAGTGGGGGAGGGGATGGGAGGATGGTAGCCGAGGCTATCGACCTTGCGCGATATTGAACAGAGGCTGGTACCAGCGGTCAAAGCGGTTGCCAGAGTCTGTCAAGTCCGGAATGATCCGCGAGGGTAGGTTACCTTACGACGGCAGTTGCGATGTCGGGGGTCTTCGGTATGTTTTGGTTTAGCAACAAGGAGCCTGGAGATTCAGTCTCTGGGTGGAAGCGGTTTTAAGACGTTCGTGGGGGCAGACTACCCTCTACAACCCCCTTACCAACTGTTCCATCGCGAAAAGAAACACTGGATATCGGTAGGGTTTCAAGGATCGTCACGATGGGGTGTTTGTTTTGTTTCACGGCGTTTGACGGTGCGAAGGACTCGTAAGGGAAGGTGGGTCTATCTGCGTTACGCGTGGAGTAACTGTCTCTACGAAGTTGTCACGGCGTGTTGAATCGTCTTTCGATGGCCTGGGAAACTCCCAAACAAGTTTTTGGGTATGTTGTCTGGTGGTCATGATGATTGAAGTTTTTCGCGATCAGAGGCTGGGAGTTCCCAAAATGCCTCGTTGGGTGTTTTCTTGACACTCGTGTTGCGTTTTGTGGAGAGCAAGTGCTTTTTTCACAGATTATGCAACTTGTCTCGGAGTGCGAAAGGCTTTGAATCGTTGCGTGGACGATTGTCTGTCGTCTTCCGCCGTTACCGTCTATCCTTAGCGTCCGTTGTTATCGTCTGATGTTGTCGTCCCTCGTCGTTGTGACCTTTATCTTTATTTCTACGATCTATTGTCTTCCTGGATTGAAGCATTCAAGAACACAGAAGACACAGCCATGCATACAAAGGAAGATTAAATCGATCTCTTGAGTTATTTTAGGTCGATTCCCCGAGGACACAGATGATCAAGCCCGTTAGCCACAAGATGTTACTACTGTGACAGGGTTGAAGTTGGTCCAAACCAAGTATTCGACACAGTACAAAGTGCCTCGGCTCTTTGGCATACATGTTACTGGATCAAGCGATCTTGTTGACCACAGAAACCTGGACATTATTTGTTTTTATGGTGATAGCTGGGGGTTGGTCAGAATGACAATCGGCCAGGCGCAACAGGCCTAACAAATGGGCGCGGAAGCGCGCTCGCAGAAGCATACCGGCTTCCAATTGATGTCAAATCGTATCAAAAAGGACATCTACTTACCTCGAGGGGAATATCTGCATCTTTGAAGGAGCGAAATGCAGTTGTGTCATGAACTGTGTAACACATTTGCGCGAGATCATAGAATTACGACTTCACGTCCTTTTCAAGTCCACTGGGGTCACTACTCTGGTCAAGCAAGTTCAAAGAATGCTCTATTTCCCTGCATGTACAGAATTAGTCATGTACATGATAACTTGCGCTCTGTTGACATTGACTTTACTTCTCCATCCCAATTTGAACCTCGTCATCGTTGTCATTCCACAGCCGGCAGTGGGGCCGTTTGCTGGTGGGTCGAGTTGACTCCGTGACGGGCACAGGATGATCTACATCAACAGATTCTGCGTGTGACGCTCCAGGAAGTTTGAGTCTGCGGCTGTGAATTTGCAATCACTAGCAATTACAACCTTATGAGTACCGTTATCCCTAACGACGTCACGATCACGGCATGGGACCGAGTCCTAAATTGGCACGTGCTGACGATCCATAACTCCTGCTATGAGGGGAACGCGTCTTCAACAACACAGTGAGCGATTCTTTGGATCCAAAGCTCACAACAAATGCAAGCACGCGGGATTATCGTCGGAAGGAGGTTTTGCCGTTGTGCAAATGACGCAACAAGGGCCATGGAAGCCGCCTTGAATGTAGTCGACGAAGTCTGAGACATGTCTCTTCTTGAGCAACTGAGACATGACCAATCTCGTCCGACGTGATTATCTGGCATAGGCGATCTTCAAGTGGCCTAGTCAACTTTGGGACTACATCGAACACGTTGGGATACCCAACTCAGGATGCTGTCTGAGTTTCTCGCAAGTCTTATCCGAGTGATCGTCGTGGAGGTGAGGGGTCGTCAGACATCGTGGAACCGCCAGACCGGATTCCGGCATTTTCGTCGAGGGGCATTTGTGCAATGGGATGTCTCATAACGAACCCGGCTACACCGTCGGAAGTCAGACAGACTTGGCCGTTCCGGGCCAAGGCCGATCGCCGATGCGGGCCGCCGCATACCCGTGCGACGACCGGCAGGAGGGACGGCAGGCCGAATCTTCGTCAGTATAAGAGCTCGACATTCGCTTGTCCCAGGGATTATGGACCCAGTCGACTGCACTCTGTTATTAGACTCCTTCCTTGAATTTTCCTACAACTCAACATGGCTTCCACCGAGCAGAAGACGTGGCGTGCTGCCCTGACCTTCGCTGGCGGAGCTGTCATTGCCCAGTACCTTTTCGGTTCTGGCCCTATCGTTGCACCAGCTTCCTCAAGCCTTGAGGCGTGCCTCAATGATGTGTGCTCCGGCCGAGACGACTGCGTTCGATTCGGTAACACGGCCGAATGGGCTCAGCCGTTCAATCTCGGCCAGAGCTCCGTCCCGGCCGCTATCATCAGACCAAAAACTGCCCAGGAGATTGCGGGCGTCGTCAAGTGTGCTCTCAAGCACGACACCAAGGTCCAGGCTAAGGCTGGCGGACACGGATTTGGGCAAGTACCAAGCTACCCTTGCTTATTGACATTTACTAACCTTCGACAGAAACCATGGTGAGCCTAAAGCAAACCTTCGCCAAAGGTACGAAATGTGCTGACTGTAATCTCCCAGGCCTTGGCGGCGAGGATGGTGCTATCTCAGTTGACATGCATCATTTCCAATACACCTCCGTCGACATGATGACTCCTTCTCGGAACGTTCGAGTTGGCGGTGGTACGCGGCTCGGGCAGATTGACGAGCACCTCCATGCTCATCAGCGAGTCATCCCCCATGGCCTTTGTGGAGGCATCGGGATTGGTGGTCACGCCACCGTCGTAAGTCTCTGCATTTGCATTCTGTGGTGTGCCAGTGTTCTGACATTGTGAAGGGAGGCATTGGGCCTATGTCTCGTATGTGGGGAACCACACTGGACCATGTAGAGGAAGTTGAGGTTGTCACTGCCAACGGCACAGTCACGAGGGCTAGCAACCATCAGAACTCCGACCTTTTCTTCGTAAGATCTCCCTCGCGGAAATTCCGAGACCATGATGCTGACCCCTCCTCCAGGCTCTGCGAGGTGCTGGCGCTGGCTTCGGCATCGTCACCGAGTTCGTGATGAAGACGCATCCCGCCCCAGAGGAGGTTTTCTTCTACACCAACGACTTAAAGTTCAGTAATCTGGATGACAAGGTTGAAGCATTCCATAGCTGGCAGACGCTGGTCGCCGACCCAACCCTGGACAACCGACTCGGCACCGACTTTACCTTGACCCCTTCAGGCGTACGCATCTCGGCTACGTGGTACGGTTCATGGGAGGAGCTTCATCAGTCCAACATTATGGGCAGACTCCCGGCTGGCGGTGCTGCTTCCCTTAGCCAGGAGACTTGGGACAGCTCCATTGCGAAGAACGCAGCTGAGGAGTCACGTCACTTGTCTGCTAGCCCTGGCAAGTTCTTCTCTAAGGGTCTCGGCTTCACTCCGGACGACATACTTTCTCGGCCTGCAATCGCCGAACTCTTTGAATTATTAGAGTCTCAAGCAGAGGAAAACTCCTGGTCGATTCGGTTCCAGGCTGTGGGCGGTGCCATCTCAGAGGTCCCCACAGGCGCAACGGCTTTCGCCCACCGCGACAAGTTCATGTTCTACCAATCCTACGCCGCTGGAGACTGCAAGACTACTAAGAACTTCCTCGAAAACTTCCACCGGAAGATCCTCAACACCGTACCAACGGAGGCTACTGGAACTTACCCTGGATTTGTCGACACGTCACTGAGGGATGCGCAGGAGTCGTACTGGCAGGGCAATGTCCCGGCGTTGGAGCAGATCAAGACGGTTTGGGATCCAAAGGATGTTTTCCACAACCCGCAGAGTATCCGTCCGATAACTGCTTAACCAGAGTGTATCCGGATGGTCACTGTAGCCGGGCTTACAGATATAGTATAGGTAGCCTCAAATCACCCAATATGTGATGTCAAATGATGTCTCTTTCGTATTTATGCTCTATTGAAGGTGTCTCAAACTCTCTCCAAGCGAAAGATAACTGCCAGCTCCTACCCTAGAGAGGAATCCAATTCCGCGCAAGGATCTGGCTGATAACTATCGCGGAATAGTGTTTTTAGTTCCGTAATGAATGTCCAAACTAGCTCTGTTTCTAGGCAACTTGATGGCAAGACCGGCAGATATCTATACTTGCCGTCGTTGAATACCAGCCCTTCAATTTGAGATGATTCGAGACTCCCACGCTTCATCCAATCGCGTTCGTATCCTGGGAAGAAAAAGTACAACGTGGCTCCGTGTTTCACCCAATCCATAATAGAAGCCACAAAGTATCTGACCTGTTGATATTGCTGGCTGCGATTTGATGGTGAGTGCCCCCATTGCACCAGCCATAAGTAGTCTTCCAGCTCGATTTCAAGACCGATGTGCTTGGGGAAACGGGGAGGTGCTCCAAAATGCCCCTTGTCGGATTCTGGTATCGCCAGGCAACCTGACACAATGTGTCCTGTTCTACCCCAACCGATGCGGAGGATGATTATGTCCGACGAGTCACAGTAGAATAGCTCTTGTACTCTTCCGTCAAGTTTGGAGGTGATGATTCTCGGCTTGTTTTGTGCGTAGCGTCGAGATCGTTCAACTGCAGCTCGTGACTCTTAGCAAGATGTTAGAAGACCGCGTGTGAGCATGTCGGTTGAGAGGTTCTGGTCGCTTTTGGTGCTACAGAGCTCGACTGCCGCCTGCGCATTCTCGTTTGGCGGTCCCATATAACTTGATTCTTGTAAAGAGAAGTAATGCACACCGTGTTCCAAGGGACGGACAGCAGTGTCCCAGATCATGTCCCGGAGCTCTCTGGGAAGCTTGTAGAACAGTGGAAACATAGAAGTATTCATGATGGTGTCGCGGAACCTCAATGGAAGTCAAGTGAGATTGCCTGCTACCGAATTTGTGACGTAGCGTTGTTGGTAGGACTGAAATAATTCGAACGAGGATTACGTGTCCTCGTCCCTGTCGTCGTCCTCGTCCCTGTCGTTGTCGTTCGCAGGGTTATGTGCAGGTTAGATGAATATGTTTAGGAATCATAAGTTCAAAAGAATCGAGATGTTCTCGGAACGAGCAAAAAGCCGTCGTACTTATGTAGGTAGCCATCGGACAACTGGAAAGGTTAGGCAACAACCTCTAAAAGGTGCCCAAATGTCGCCTGGCCAAAAGACATGAGGGTTCGCAGGAGGTACGGGAAACCAAAAGTGCTGATGATTTGAGTGGGCAGCAGGCGTCTCATGAGAATGATTCAATTAGGTATCAAGGAGTATCAAGCTGCGCGCTCGTGACAGTCTACTTCTTCATTAATGCCTCTTCGCCTTTCCAGTCACATCGTCCTCCTCACTGCTACTCAAGGTCGCCTCACTGCCGTTAACCCTGAAGCTGAAGTCCACTACGCCGACCAGACTGCTGACCGCACGCACCAGTCCCTCCAGGTCGTCGCATACAAGCGAGCTGCACACCTGCAGCACCGCAAACTCTGTGTACCCATGCTGCTCCACATTCTTGACGTCGAGAATGCTTCCGCTGCCTGGCGGGCTTATGGTCTCTGCGAGCTCGGCCATGCCTGCCAGTGTTGAATTGTCACTTGTGACACTGGGCTTGCGAGTCGTCGACCGGACTTCCTCGCCTGTGTGCGTGTGGACAGTGACCAGCCTGTGCTCCAACTCGCTTCCCCTTCTCTGGATGCCTGGCTGCGGCTCGGGCTCAGGAGCTCGGAGGTGAAGAAGCTTTCGAGTGAGTTCATTGGGTCGTGGGAGTTGCATGAACGGAGGCAGCGACTGGCCCGAGAGCAAAGAATTCGAGAGGAGGGTGAGCGTGGAGAGGATTGTGTGCTGTGTCGGTTCGATGCCAGCGAGGACTTGGTTTAAGGCACGGAGCCACTGGCGGTCGCTCGCCGATGAGGCGGTAGATGGTCTATCGCGAGGCTTCCAGGTAATTGTGTACGCGATCAATGTCAGATAGCGCATAATGCTCGTAGACCGTCTGATGATGTCTTCGTAGGTGGCCCTGGGGAACTTGCCGCCAATATCGGGCTCCCACTTCTGCCACTGCGCATGGCTGTCCAGGCTAGGGAGCAGCAGCAACAGCTTGCCCAAGATGCGACGTCTCTCCTTCTCCATTTTCTGAGCGGGCGTTCCCGGCATCTTGATGTCGCCGTGGGTGTCGTTCATGGTGGCCTTGATGGTCTCCGTGATGACGCTGAAGTAGTTGGCGAGTAGGTAGAGCGAAGCGCTGAGGTCCATGCGAAGCCATCTGCGATCCGTAATCGGAGACGGAAAGACGGTCCAGATGAACGCGATGGCACATCCAGCAGCGACGCAGGCAAGACGATAAGGAGCGAGCAGATAGGTCGGGTAGTACGGCTGTCCCGTGGCTGCAGCGGCGACTTCGCCAATCTTCTGAACTTGAAGCTCATAACCGATGATAAGAACTTGGGTGATGATCATGATGAGCCATACGGGCATGAACCTGGGGTATTTGAGGACAAAGTATTGTTCGATGAATGTGAACAACCAGAGAAAGACAATGACTCCAGCAGTTCTCTCAACGACAATGTACCAGATGATGTACGAGAAGATCATGGCGACGAGTGTTCCGCCAACACGGCACACGAAGCCAAAGATGGACTGGCCTGCAGTGATCGTCATTCCGATGGCAATCATAATCATGGCCCAGACGAGACGCTGCTCGTTGAAGAAGGTCTGGGTATCCTTGAGGAAAGCCAGAATGCCGACAGTCATCGTCGCCACTGCCACACGGAAGCCAAACATTGATTCTCCTGAACCGACGAATGCTGAGATCTTTCGAAGCCTGTTGCCGAAATGTTGCCATGCGCCATGTGCGGGGAGATGCTCAGGGTCCTTTTTCTTGTTGTATCCATCACCAGCGTAGACAACATTGGCGCCCATGTCCGCCATGTCCGGGTTCTGCTCTGGTGTTCCGTCCTGGGTGCTGCATGCTCCTCTCAGCCACTTCATGATGCGCCTTTGCGAGGGGATGATCAAGCGCTTCTTGCCCATGGTTCCGTCGGCCACCTTGGAGTCAGCAAACATGACCAAGTCCTGAACCGCCTCACCAAGCGCAAGCATGAGTTTCTCCATGTAAAGCATGACATAGAGCTGTGTCTGGTCGCGCTCCTTCATCCTCGTCTCCAATCGCTTGAGGTGCAATTCCTGTCGCTCCAGCTCAGTGGCCTCGCGTCTCTCTTTCAACCAAGCCTTAAGCATCTCTCCCTTCTTGTCGTTAAAGTCCTGGACCTTGTCCGCGAGAACCTGTGCAAACCCAGACTCTCCCGGCTTGGGCAAGGCCTTCGCCCCAGCCTCCATTTCGACATCGGCGGTCTTTGACTTCTTGGGTTTCGGTGTAAGTTCGAGCACGATGCCCACGTGTTCCAACCCTTGGTCCATAGCCTCGGTGAGAATTTCGAATGGCTCGTAGAGTTGCAGCATGATATCGTTCCACACCTTTTGCTCCAAGGACTTTTCGATGTCAGTGTCGCCGCCCTCGTCGCTCGTACCCCATCCATGCTTCTCAGCCGCCCGCCTGAAAATGTCGACAATAGTGCTGATTCCATTCAGTGGGATCATAATGCTCCGCAGGCGGTTGAAGATCTCGCTCATGTCCTTGGCATCCAACTTTCCGTACGCAATATCTCTCTTGGCAAAGACCATGTCTCCATGCATCTTTCCGAACAGAGCCGAGATAGCTAAAGCAGTACCCTTCAATTCTCCCGCAGCCCTGGCCTCCTTCGTCATCTCGGGGCCCTTCGGCTTCTTCCTGAAAGCGCTGCTTGCTCTCGTTGGCTCGCGTTCCAACATGTCATCGCTGGACAGAACCTGCAGGTAGTTCAATTGAAGTCTAATTGACTTCCTGACCAACCCGATCGCGCCCTTGAATTCAGCACTGACAACCTTTCGGCTGGATACCGGGAAGATGACGAGAGCGACGCCGGTAGCGATGCCCATGGCAGAGAGCATAGCCACCAGAAGCCGTCTCACAAATGACTCTGCGGACGCGTCTGTCACCATAAGCGGCCCAAAGGTGCACGCCACGTTCATGAAGATGGAGTAAATCATGACAGGTAGGTTCATAGCCGGGTACTTTGCACGCAGCGTGTTGGAGATCCAAATGTTAAAAAAGAGCCAGATGCCACAAACAGCTGATTGACTCGAGTTGTAGATGGGCAAGCCGGTGGCCAACTCTTCGGCTGTTGCGGTGTTGTGTCGCGCTCGGACACCAGTCCACAGAGCCAGCATGGAAATTGCGGCACCGATGCAGATTCCCGACACATTCAGGACCAGATTCTGAAGATACTTGCCTCGCGGGAGAATAGCGAGAGCGAGGACTGAGATAATGGGCACGAGGTAGCCCAGGGTGGTGAAGTATTGCGCAACTGGTGTCGATTGGTAGATGCTGATACCAATGATCGGTGGTAATGAGCCCTTGAACATCATCATGACTGTTGGCACATCGAGACCGAGTCTGGTCATCAGATTGGGCTTCGGAGGCGGCTTCCTTGCCGCACTGGCGCTCGTCGCGTTAGTCGGCGCCCGCGCCGGAGCCGCAGGACGAGGCTCCGGCGAGGGGGTTTCCCGGTCGGCATCGGGCTGCTGTTCATCGGTACTCATATTTTCGGGAGCATCGGTCGCCACAGATTGGGATGAACTCGAGTTCACCTCTTCTCCGACGGATCGGAGAGTCGAGCGTCGTCGCATGCCGGGCATCTTGATGAGATGAGGTTGAGTTTTTCAGGCCCGAGGCCCGGTGTTGTTTTGTCTTACCTGATGATGTAATTAGCGGATATCGCCGCCCTTCTACTGGCAAGACATTGCCGACAGAGTTTGCGCTAGCGCGACGTTTTGTGGACTTTTTACTCGTTTTCGTTAAGACCGGATGGAGATTATTAGGAACTAAAATAGCTGGCGAGTCAATCAACCACCACCGACTTGGCCGATTCATGCCTTGAGGGCACGGGCCTTCATCTCATCTCGTTCAAGGGATGAGGCAGATGAGATGGTCGCCGGAATGGTCGCACAGGGAGCCGTTCGGAAGATTTGGCAACTTGAGTTGGGGATATCGACGTTGAACGCAACCTTAGACGGACTTCAAATGTCTGAAAGATTCGCATCAAAGTCGATGTTTATCGACAAGCCTCTTTATCAAAGTGAGCAGACAATGGGACGCGCAAAAGCTCGACATAGCATCATGCCAGCGAGCTGTCGAATCGGGGAAAGACTGCAACAGGCCAACAGCAACTGCATTCAGCAGCAACCTTGGCTACATTGATTCCTCGATATTGACGGCAACATCGAATCATTCTGTTTCCTGTTCATGTTAAAGCTGTAGAAACAGAATGATTCGATGTTCCCGTCAATATCGAGGCAATGTAGTATCGGCCCATGGAGGATTCTAGCTCGGTCCAACGTGTTATCTGCATGCAAGATCCCTGTAGGTCAGCCCTAAACCGGCCGCCTATTCCCCGCCACGTCAGTGGGCTGAACCGTCTCCTTTGCTTGGCAAACCAATGCCGCGTGGCCGTGGAAGCCGTGGAGTTTTGCCCTCGCAGACTGTGATGTTTCTTTTGGCGGTTTTCTGGCGATTACTCATAATACTCCGATCCTCAGCATGTGCGCCTCAGCTGTCTTTCAAACGAACAGATGCAGGTTTTGTCGCTCTAGGTTCCACATGACACGGAGCTCTTCTCAATCTCAACCCCCACATCCGCGCTCAACTGCCTCTGAGTGAGGAGCAGGGGTCAGTGATCAACCCCGCAGGTTCTGGACGAAATGGTCCGTTGTCTCCCTCCACTGTCTTGAGTTCGTTGTATTCTTCCGCTGTCTTCTATCGCATTCGTTTTCAGTCGACATCATATTCCATTTCAAAGTTGGTCTCAAATTTGGATAGAAATCGCAGATCGAAGTCTTTGCGGAAGCCCAGGAAGTATCGTTCTTGAAATACACGCGCGACACGAAAATTGCCAACTTTCTAGCTTGTTAGATGTCTACTCATGGACGTCTACACAACCATCCAGAGGTACCACCAAACAGCCCCTGTTTGTAGATACACCTTAATGTCAAGTTTACCCATCAGGTAACTAGCGCAACACGACGTTCCACCCCTAGATAATCAAACAGAAAGCCAGTGAACGAGCTTCTAACTCAAGTGAATGAGTTTCCGCATACAAACCGCCCATCGACACCCCTCAGAAGTCTCGATAACGAGTTTCGTACTTCAAATCAACCACGTCTTCAGGGTTGATAGCATTGACCCTCTTGCTCCTAATGTCCGTTCTGTCCAACAGTTGCTGGTAGAGTGGGGCGAACTCCCTCGAAGTCTGAAGATGCGCCAGGCCGAGGAACTGTTTTTTGTCTTCCAAGTTAACGTGGTGCTGAACTCGATAGGATAGGTAGATCTCGTTGAATCGTATGTTGGTGTCTAGATTGTCACGAGCAGCCACAGTGGCCATGCTGAATAAGGCTCCTTGAGTCACAGCAGGAGCCGCTCGCCGACCCATATCACCCGAGGCACCAGAACACATCGTCCAAGAGCTGTTTGAGACCCCCTTTTCTAGCAAGTAGGGCCAAGTTGCACGGTATGCGTCTACGATATGATCGCTTAGATTCGAAAATTCACGACGAGCTCAGCATATGTTGGTGGCCACTCACATAGATAAGTTTCAAAATTGATCTTCATAATCTGAAGAAGAGCAGAAGTCTCGAGAGCAACCAGGCTAGTCTCCCAATAAAGACCACCCGCTGTTCGAAGTTGGTATCAGTCACTTGTCCTCAAAGCAAATCCCAAAGGCCCACCTGAATCAACGATAAGGGGTGAAGAAGTACTCACGAGACGCAAAAACATGCTGAAACGGCGGCAGCTTGCCGGCGCGAACTTGATCAACGATAACTCTAACAGAGTCCTCAGATGTGATGTCCGCTTCGGCAATCGTGATTCCATCGCGGGTTCCAACGTAGTCGAATATCTTCTCGGCGCTTGTCTGATTACGAACAACAGCAATGACTTTGCGCTTAGCATGGAGGGCACCGATAACGGCAGATACTCCGATGTTTCCGGATGCGCCGAAGACAAGAACCGTTTCTGCCATTGCTATAGTCAACAAATGGGTCGTGCTGTTCAGATCAAGTCCCAAAGGTGGTCGGAACGGCCTGTCGAAGCAGGATGGGCAAGGCTTAGGAACCCATTTATTCTGAAATGTTCACCGACTTTCATTTAATTAAACGTGTTTGTTTTCCGACAAAGACTGCATTCAGCATGGGTTCGCCATCATTTTTAGACGCGAGGTGACATCAAGTATGGCTCTGGGCTAGACGAAATGGTTATGCTATCCGAAAAGAGGACGGCTTCTGGATCGATTCCTGGTGCCGAGTTACACAATGCGGATATAGAACCAATCAAGTATCTCCCCCAGCTGGAGAAATGCATTCAATCGGGCCATCGGAGACGACTAGTGAATCTCACTGCAGATTTAGACGAGTATTCCCAGGCTGCACCCCGCCTTTGAAACTGTGTAGTTGATATTACCGGTTCATTTCCTGACAACGATGTACGGTGGGTAGCAATGACGGCGCATTGCTTTCCTGTTCGGTATTCTTCATTGAGATGCAAGTTTGTCGACGGCAAGCGCAGGAACAATGCAGCACCGAACGCGCACTGTGTGAGATCTCGAGTCGCTCATTCGTCGGGCCAGGGTTTCTTCGATTTCCACATCCAGTCTGTGCAATTTACGAATCACGACCCCATCAAGGCTGGATTCTATTGCTTACACACGCCATAACTTGGAAGTACTCTCAACGTTATCAAAGTCGTTGTCAAATTTACGACTCTTTCGAATGCATAGGTACGATTTGCTTTCCGAACTAATTCTCCTGACTACGTAAGTGGGTAGGTAGGAATAACATACTCAACAAAAAGAACGACAGAACAGGGGCAATGATAGAAAGTACTCAAAGGAGCCGACGTCAATAACTCAAAGAGAATTTCAAATAGTTTAGAATGAGATAAAGTTCATGACTAACGAATCACGGTCTAAAAGGTTGAAAGTTTTGATCTCGGAACATCAAATTTACTGGCTGGGTTCATCGTGACACAGACTCATCGCGGTTTGAGTTTCATTCGTCAAAATACCTAAAAGCACGATGAGATGAGTTTCGCAATATACGCCACAAGTACATGTTGTCAAGTGATGGCCTTATGTTCATGGTCATTGAAGATCAACATGCAGTCTTGTGCAGTAAACATCCATCAGTGCAAGAGATCTGTTTAATTAAGAACCCCATCATCTTTGCCTTTAACAGCACCAGTCAATACTATCAAATGAAGTCTGCTGATCGACATACGGATTGTGAATTTCTCACAGTGAATGTTCTGGAGTTTACCATTTCCCACCGCAACAACCCCGATGTATCGCGGGCGTAATAGCGGTGAACTACTCAGACCGAGCTAGAAATCAATCTTTCAATGTGATGTCCACAATTTGTTTGGAACCCAGTCTTACGGCCGTTTCCAACAACAAGCGGAGGTGTTTCCCTTATTGGGCAAAGCTTGGAACGAGGGAGAGAGGGCCAGCCACCTTTGGCGCGTAAAATGACCAGTGAAAAGGCTTCAGATTCTACGTCGAGCACGTAGTCTACTCGTTGAAAGGTCGCATAGAGGCTACATATAAGGCTGTTCAACATCAAAGGGGTTGTGTACCCGTCACGAGGCATGTGGGCTGAGTGAAGGCGGGGGAATTGGCTCAGCTGCCAATCCAAACGTAAGGGCTGTGCTGAAAGCCTAATGGCTACCGCTTGTGGCCACTCTTGGCTAGACCTCTACGTTACAGATGGCTGCCCAAGCGACTGGGGGTGCGTGTATGGCTCCGTGCCGCTCTCGACAATTTCTACTAGCTGAAGTCTTACTGGTGCAAGGGGGCTCGGATCTGTTGTCTGCTCTTCTAAGAGGCCACACCCCTGGTACCGGACTTGATGAAACCTGAAAGAGTGAGGCCCCTAAGGAGTCTGTCATCACTCGATAGCCCGAGACATGTGCCTTTTCTTTCAAACTGCGGAAGAAAAGTTAGAAGGGAAGAAAGGTTTCTTTCTATTACTCGTGCAACAGACCACTAGTCTGAAGGCGCATTCTGACAGACCCTTGAAAACATGTGTCAACAGCAAGCAAGTGCAGAGGTGAGATTCACTTGCCGCGTGTCAAGCTTGCGGGGCGCCTAACAGGTGGCACCCAGCCACCGGTTGCTTTAATGTTAGGCCATGTGGACCCATTCACGCGGAGCACCATGATTCTCATGACCACGGGATGAATTCCCTGAAAATAGTTAAATAGCCGCCTCTGACGTATGGGTGGAGATCCAGTTGACGTATGATCATCAACAGGCATTTCAGTGCAGGTGGCTCGGATATCACCCCTGCCCATCTGTGGACGGATGTGACTCCTCCTAGATGTAGCTACGTGCCGCTCAGTCTCGGGCCTCAATGGCCTAGAATTGGGGGTAGTGGTAGCAAGGGAGTGTCTAGGGAGCAGTGCCAACTTGTTTTCTTGTTCTTACTCGCAAGCGGTTTTCTAGACATAAGCTTTCAATGTTTACTGTTGAACCTGTGTGTACGACTATTTTCTCAAATACTTGAATGGAGATTCAATCACGATGTTTAATGCTCATATGGTAATCATTATGACTATTCGCTACCGACCGTGCGTGACCTTTTCAGCTTATCCTTCTGACCCGGCGAAAGCACACAATCTTCGCTTTGTCCTACACCAGACACATTATCGGTTATGCTGCTCGAAGTCAGAAATTATCCGATTATTCCTTCAACTGACTTGCAATGACACAGTCCTCACATCGAGCGCGATATACCCACACCCAAGATGAACAGTTAACGTTGTACTTGTATCTGTTGACACAAGGGTAGCGATCCATGGCCCACGTGTTTTAAGGGCCGGTGAGGTGATGATTAGGCGAAACCTGAATGATTGAGCTTCAAAGAATTACCGAGGCCATACGTCTGATAGGACATGAGAACATTGGAAGTTGTCGTCCCTTATGACTTCTTCGTGTTTTTATTACATCTCTTCCTTGGCTATGTCTCTACGTGATCAGGTCGGGTATTGAAGTTCTCAATGGTCAATTAAACCTTGGGCATCTTTTCGTTGCTTTTCTACCGAATCTGCCATATTTTTCTGTTTGATTTACACCACGATTTGTCTTAGGGAGGCCGGCCGGCCCCGCTCGCGTCCACGTCAGTTTCGTGGGCTTGAACCTTGGCCGGAGCTATCTCCGAATCCGTAGCTCTCGCCTGGCCAATAGACAGTAAAATTCGCATGTTTCGAAATATCGTATTTGAGAGGATGGGTATCTTCCCCGCTCCCCAATAGTGGTGATGGAAACATCGTAGACAGCCCCTCCTTGACATTACCAGGGTCTGGGATGGCCCTAATCACTGTCTGACACCGCCATACCACCCTTCCCCTGCTTCCTATCCCGATACCTATTTCGCTTCCACCTATCAACGATATTGAGACTTCTGTCAAACGATCCATTTTGCTGCAACTGGCCTTCAGACGCATGCAATCCACTCGGAAGGTGGTCCAATGTACCGCATCCCTCGTACACCTGCAAGCTTAGGTCGGCGACCTCGGGATCTACAGCACGCAGTGATGATACATCTTCTCGTTGGCAGGATTTCAGTCTCCACGTGGTCAAGCACGAGATATGGTCCACATGCAACCTGACTTTGGCGCTTCACACGCACCTTAGTCCTAGAAAGAAGAAAATGAACAGCTCTAGCACTGGACTATGGATATTTGGATACACCACACACGCATGCTAGTGAGTTATTTCCGTTCGCGTAGATATGTACCACAATTTGCTGTTCGAGTCATCTGCGACGTCTTGGAGCTTTTCCACGCTGGCTTGCGTGAGACTCATACGGGTGCTCGAGCGCCAGGGTCCAAGGGCAATACCAGTTATCGGGTGAAGGAGGCCGCCACAAACAAGGGTAGTCCATTTGACGAGGAAGGCTGATGTGGTGGCGATATCATGAAGATTCATTGCAACAAGAGGTGGACGTATCGTCACTCAATCAGCTACACTATGTTTTGTGGCGTGGTCGCCCAAACCCGGCATTCAGGTACGTAGGGCTCACGCCAAATAGCTGGTTGGCTGACTTAAAACCGACTCTCCTCTTCCTGGCGAAATCAGGCCACTTCTATCGGCGCTGCCTGAGTTTGGTGGCTGTCCGAGAGCCCACAAGTCTTGCGTGAGGCTGGGCATCAAGTTCTAAATTCCCAGGTCAGAGAGATCGCCCGTGGATCCCTTGACTGAGCGGTTGGAGAAGCTTTACAGCCTAAAGTCTCGGAGCCGGTGGAGGCTTTTAGTACGCTGATCAAGTGATGGCGATGTGGTGCAGCTCAGCCCGTTGAAGCTCGGTTCTGACAGGTGACAGAACAGGGATAGCCTGCGCTTGATGACCTTGCGAGTCTCCTGTCATTATCTCATTAGGTCTTCCAAGTCGAAGTCCACTCATACCTGGGGAATGCACGATCTTATCTGCCTGGGCCCTGGCTATGCTGCCCAGTGGCAATCCATGTCGGTGATCAGTCGCAGCTCGGTCTCCCCGATTACGTCCAACTACCTTGTTTCCGAGTCCGATCGAGTCGGACAAAGTGGATTTGCGGCGACGGATAGACGACGGGTATTGGTCCCCAGCCAGTAGCTTGGACATTGGGTAAATTAGCTTTGGAAGGGGCAGCGGCTGACTTGATGCACAAGAACCCCTGTTCATATTTTGAGACCAGTAACGCAATCGCGCACCAATCGCGATTCCGTCTAACCGAAGACAACATGAAATACAGAATATGAGATATGATTAGGTATTGAACGGAAAACTGGTTGGTCGTTAGCACATTGCAAGTATTTTGGTGTTCATACAATGGTCTAGACTAAAGTTACAAGTCGGGCAATCTCGCCTCAGGAAAGGGATCAGAATACTTCTTTTCTTTTTCGTCGATATCTACCTGCTGATGGACCCCAGCTTGCGAATCGAATTTGAGAAGCCCCTTGTTTGCGCGCCCAACATGTTGTCGAAGACC